AAACCATATGGTTTTCCCCCCGACGAGCTCGGCCACGCCCCCAACGTCAGCAACGTCGCACGTCACTTCTGGTGACGTCCTGCCGGTGTGCGCGTGCTTTGCGCGCGCCCCCGAAACGAACTCCCGGACACCGCCGAGGTTCCCCCGCTCCGAGGGGTAAGTGGATTTGGCAATCCTACTCACTGGTCTGATCCAGCGGGACTCTTCTGATGTTCTTATGAGGGGAAGGCCTCGGCCTCTCTGCCCTGTTGTTGGTCCTCCAGAGGAACTGGTTGAGGCCACTGTGTGAGACAGGAGGCTGGACTAAGATGGACCCTCACTGGTCTGATCCAGCGGGACTCTTCTGATGTGCCGATGATCTGAAACCCAGTTTGGTCCTGCCCAAAGCCAATGCTACAATCCAGTGGCTCAGTCAGGGCTCCCGGGACTCTCGATTCCACAGGAAAGGCCTCCCTTAAAAGCTAAAAGCAAAGTGTCTTGGAAAGAGTGGGGGGAGGGCCCGGTCTGCACAGCAGTTCCCAAAATCCATTCCTGCCCTGGCCGGAGATTGCTGCCAGTTGTACAAAAGGAAGTTTGGACTGCAGCCAGTTTGGACCCGGGCCCGGGTCTCTGGTTCATCTCTTCTCCGGCCCGTATTGGCTGCCAGCGGGTGACGGGCAAGACTGCTGGCACGACACCCTTGGCTCCGATAGGCCGGATCCCTCCCAGGGGGGTGAAATGACCAAGCCGGGCAGCCAATAAGGAGGTGGAACCGAAGACAACAACAAAAAAAACCCACGAAAGGATGTATTGATTTCCTCCAGAGGCTATTTCTGGTGTGCTTCGGTGTAAAATGCCAGGCAGGGTCATCCCAGGAGACCGGTGATTCAGTGAGGGACCACTGGGGTGGAAAGACAAACAAAACCCGACATGTGGATTACGTTATTTTCCTGGCCTATCAGCCTCACCCGAGAGCAGGAGGCAAAGTTGCTTGTCCGGAGAAGCATACGATGGCCGACTCCAGTCTCTCTGGAACGTTTTTATATCATACTCGCTCCAAGGAGCCTTGCTAATCTCCAGGTGGGGGCTGGAGTCCTTTTGGAATTACAAGTGTTCTCCCAGACGAGAGAGATCAGTTCCCCTGGAGAAAAGGGCAGACTTTATGGTATAGAGTTCAGGAGAACTGGAAGATGATGAGGAGGAAGAGATTGGATTTATACCCCGCCCTTCGCTACCCAAAGGTGTCTCAGAGTGGCTTACAATCTCCTTTCCCTTCCCCTCCCCATAACAGACCCCCTGTGAGGTAGGTGGGGCTGAGAGAGCTCTCTCGAGGACTGCCCTTGAGAGAACAGCTCTGAGAGAACTTGTGGCTGACCCAAGGTCATCCAGCAGCTGCATGTGGAGGAGTGGGGAATCAAACCCGGTTCTCCCAGATTAGAGTCCACGTTCTTAACCACTACACTAAACTGGCTCTCTGTTCACACACGTGGGTGTGCAGTAGGATTGCCAGATCGGAGTCCAGGAGCACCTCAGAGACAGAAAAGAGTTACAGGGTCCAGACCTGACCTGGACGGGCCAGGCTCGCCGGATCTCGTCAGATCTCGGAAGCTAAGCAGGGTTGGCCCTGGCAAGTACTTGGACGGGAGACCACCAAGGCAGTCCAGGGTTGCTACGCAGAGGCAGGCAAGGGCAAACCGCCTCTGTATGCCCCACCTCCCTCCCTATCTCATGGGGGGGTGTCTGTTGTGGGGAGAGAAATGGAAGGAGATTGTAAACGACTCTGAGACTCGAGTGGAGGGCGGGGTAGAAACCCAATATCCTCCTCCTCCTCTTCTCTTATTGCAGTAGTCAAAGGCGACTTCACCTTCAGGCCCTGACCTGGATAGCCCAGGCAAGCCTGGTCTTGTCAAATCTCGGAAGCTGAGCAGGACCGACCCTGGCAAGTGCTTGGACGGGAGACCTCCAAGGAATACCAGGGCTGGGATGCGGAAGCAAGCAATCGCAAGCCACCTCTCTGAAATGCCCAAGCCCCACTAGGGGTCGCCAGAAGTCAACCGTGACTTCCAGGCACACACACACGAAAAGTTTCAGGATCTAATCGAGTTCCTTACAATAGAGAATCCCAGTATTCCCAGATTTGGAAGGGGCCCTACAGGTCATCTATTCCAACCCCCTGCTCCGTGCAGGATGTGCCTAGTGTTTGTCCAGCCGCTGCCAGGGAGGGGGAGCTCGCCACCTCCCTAGGCAGCTGTTGGAACAACAGCTGGTCCACTGTTGAACCGACTTTTACTGTAAAAGCTTTTTCCCTGAGATCCAGCCCGGTACCTTCCTGCCCTCAATTTAAATCCAATATTTTGAGACCTCTCCTCCGCCACCAACAGCTCCCTGCCCTCCCCTAAAGTGACAGCCCTTCAGAGACTTCAAGAGAGCCATCCTGTCCCCCCTCAGCCTCCTCTTCTCCAGACTGAACGTCCCCAGGTCCCTCATCAGCCTCTCCTCCCAGGCCTTCTTGGTCTCCAGGCCCCCAATCATCCCCGTCGCTCTCCTCTGCACCAGCTCCATTCCGTCCGCATCCTTTTGGAAGGGAGGCCTCCGGAACTGCACACAAGACTCCAGGTGCGGCCTGACCAATGCAGTGTACGGCGGGACGATGACATCTCGCAACCTGGATGTCTGTTTTCCTGACATTCAGTGGGAAGTGAATATGCCCAGGGAAGGACATGAGGGGATTAGAGAAACATGTGGAGTAGGAGTCCTAGAATCACAGAGTGGGAAGGGGCCATAGAGGCCATCTAGTCCAACCCCCCTGCTCAATGCAGGATCAGCCTAGAGCAGTGGTGGCGAACCTATGGCACGGGCACGCGTGCCATCACCCCAGCCAGGCCCAGACTATCATAAAAGTGTTGAATTCTCTGCCAAACAATTTTAAGTAAATGAAAGCATTTGGGATTGCTTTCCTTACTTTGTTTGGATCATCTTAAGTTAATGTATGAATTGTTTTTTCTAAAGCAAAACCTCAGTATTCAGGTTAAATTGCCGTGTTGGCACTTTGTGATAAATAAGTGGGTTTTGGGTCGCAGTTTGGGCACTCCGTCTCTAAAAGGTTCGCCATCACTGGCTTACAGCATCCCTGACCGGTGTTTGTCCAGCCGCTGCTTCAAGACGGCCAGGGAGGGGGAGGCTCACCACCTCCCCGGGGCAGCTGATTCCACTCTTGCACAACTCTGACTGTCAAAGAGTTTTTTCTGAAGATCCAGCTGGTCCCTTCCCACCCTTAATTGAAACCCATTCTTGCGAGTCCTCTCCTCTGCTGCCAAGCAGGAACAGCTCCCTGCCCTCTTCTAAGGGACAGCCCTTCCGATCCTTCAGGAGAGCCATCACGTCCCCCCTTAACGTCCTCTTCTCCAGACTGAACGTGCCCAGGTCCTTCGGCCTTTCCTCCCAGGGCTTCTTGGTCTCCAGGCCCCCGATCATCCTCGTCGCTTGCACCCCGCTCCATTCCGTCCACATCCTTTTCGAAGCGAGGCCTCCAGAACCCCACACAAGACTCCAGGTGCGGCCCGACCCATGCCTCGTCCCTCCCCATCCCTGATAAGCATTCTTTCCCAACCCCCCTCCCACCTTCCGACTAGAAAAAGTACTCCGGATCTCTCCATTTTTACTCCACTCGTGTGTCTGACTGAGGGAGATTTGGCTCTCGAAAGCTCCTGTCCTGAAAAGCTCGTTGGACTCTAAGGTGCTACAGAACTCGAATCTGGCTCCCAAAAAGCAGGGTTAGGACAGACGTCGGGGATCTGAACACCCAACCCTCGACAACACTCTCCGCCTTTCGTCGGGGATCTGAACACCCAACCCCCGACAACACTCTCCGCCTTTCCGTCCGGGTTCTCCTCGCAGCCCCCCCCCCCTCCGCGCAAAAGGGAACGCAGATGGCAGCCGGGCAGAGAAAATACAGAAGCATCTTTATTTACAGAACCGAGAACACTGAAACAAAACGAACAAAGGGACGCAACCACCGGGGGGGGGGGGGTGAGGGGGAGAC